TTATTGTGTGTGTGTGCTTGCGCCTATGTGCGTGTGGATCTTTTCGGGTGAATGACCGCCGAAAATTAAATTTTTTGTCGATTTTAGACTTTTACTATGTTGACGTTGATGATGATTGTGCCGTTGCTTGCCAGTCTTTTGACGAAGCTCGCGCTCACACAGAAACTCAACGAAGAGAGCAGTAGATTCAGCTATAATGCGCTGCTTTATAGTTTAGAGCGTGCGGCGTTCGCACTATCACGCGTACATTTTATGAATGCGCGGGGAGGTGGGTGGCGGTTGAGCAGCAGGGAGCGACCTGCAAGCTCTGTACGCGTGTGCATGTGTGTGTGTGCCTAGACTACACAATCAGCAAACGCAGCGCAGGCATTTCACTCAGCGGCAGCAGCAACAACAACAAAAACAACAAAAACGTTGAACGACAACTTTTTTTTTTCGTGCGCTCTTTTAATTTTTTTCCGCTGCAAGGGCCTGCCTGCGCGCATGGTGGGCAAGGGACGCGTGCGGGCGGTACGTGCGATCGCCAGCCACTTTCAACAACGAGTCTTTCGCTTTTTTCTGCTCTTTCCTTTTTTTTTTTTGTTAATTTTTTGGCCGCTTTCTGTTTACGCCGCATTTCTTTCACTTTGTACCGTACTATCTGTTTTCTGTTTCTGTTTCACATTTTATTGTCGTCGCACTCTTCTTTTTTCTGTTTTTTTTTTATTTTTATGAAGTACCGAGTGGCAAATGCCGAGCTACGAGTTGCCTGTTGCCTTTTTGGCAAAACTCAAGACAACTCAAAGTGAAAATTTCAATAAAACAAAGTTGCCAACGTTTTTGTTGTTGTTGTCGCTGTTGTTGTTGCGTTTGCTGTCGCGGAAGTCATAAAGGCAAATTGCATGCATATTTCGTTGAGTTTTGCGGGCGCAGCTTGGGTCACAATCCCATCCGCTGCCCCTGCCCTAGCTACCCTCCGCCCCGCCCACTCTTAACTCTTGTGCACACGCAACGTACGCAGCAGCAGCAGCTAAAAACAGTTTAAGTGCCTGCTTTTCGTGGCTTTTAATTGCTCGACTTCTTTTTTTTTGGAAGGTGGATGGTGGGGTGGGGGGGGGTGGATCGAAAAGCAAAGTGAAAATAAGTCACAGCAGAAGAAAAGCTGAATTTTCTTGTCCACGAAATAATACGTGGAACTGTTCTGCATTCAGATGATAAGGTATCTACTAAGGTATATTCTGTACATATATATTCTACATATAATATAGATTACTTTTTGTTTATGCTTAAGCATATACATCAACCCATATATGTATTTAAAAGGACAATGTATGAAGGGAAATCTTTATGAAAATTACATGGTACTGAAATATAAAAATCCCAATAATTTTTTATTACATATTTATTTAAGAGTTACCTTTGTAAATCAGAGTAACTTTTGAAAATATTTCGCAGTACTAAAAAGATAAAATCTCTGTGTCTGGTTAAGAAGGATTTTAGTTAAAAACCAACCAAAGTACCAAGGCCTTGAAAACCCTTCGTCTAATGGGGCTTAACCATTTTATATGATGCTGTTAGAGTGATATCTAAATATATTTAACTAATCTCAAAACTTTAATTAAAATTCTCAATCAGTCCTCTTTTAAAAGTAAAGGCATTTAATCAATATTTTCAGTCAGTTGTATTCTTAATAAACTATATACATGAAACATTTTTGAATACAATCATTGAGTATTGTACAAATCAGAGAGGCTCCAAACGAAGCCAGTCTTTCCTGCATTTTATTTTAATAATAATAATTTTAAATTAATTTGTTACATAGATTTTCATGTTTTAAAGGTGACATGCTCAATGAATCTTATCAGAATGAGTCTGGAAAAAGAATGCGAGTATCTTTTAAGAGATAATATTTGGTAAGTTTTATAGTTTCAAAAATTGCTCTAAATATGTTGCATGTAATTTCTCAGTTCTAACGGACCCATTATATATTATAAGTTTTATGGGACCTGTTTTCCGCATAGTTTATAGTTGGCATACGCTCAAATAAGGACATCAAAAGTCTAATAATAGTGTTTGGGGTTAGAGCACGCAACATTTACGATTGGGCAGGGGTTACGGGTGTTGGGGTTAGGGGATGCGGGGTGCGAGATCTTGGGGTTGAAATGGTCATTTCTTGGCCATTTCCCCAACTAAAGGTTTCTCACTCTCGCTAAACACGGCGTTTGCGGTCTGGCAATTAAGATTTATGACGGGCGTCCTGGCGTTGATATACCCCACCCCCCCCCCCTCCCTCCACCCCACCCCCTCCAAACAAGCAAAAGAACAAAAATCGTACGCATTAACCAACAAAAACCGAAAAGCCTGACAAATGCTCATTATTCATTTTGGGCCGCTGACCCCGTCGTGAGGTCAAAGAACGCAAACCTCGGCTGATAAGAGAGCGCGAGAGAGACGGGGCGAGGCGAGGCGGGGTGGGGTGGGGTGAGGTGGGGTGGCGGGGCAGCGATTTGTGTGCAATAGTTGCAGCAATTGTTATTAATATATTATTAATAATATATGTGCATATATATAAAAACAATTATGTAGATATGGCAAATGCATTGAGCCAAAAATAAACTCAATTTGCCAACGCAATCGAAAGCATCGTGTAATATACAATATAAAAAAAAGAAAAGAAAAAAACCGTCAAAATGAAAAGAAAAATTGCCAACAATTGTGTGTGTGTGTGTGTGTGTGTGTGTATAGCAATTCATATATTTATATAAATTTTAATGTGCAGCCAAAAAAATAAACAATATTTTTTTTGTGTTGGCATTACAATATCGCTTTTTATTGCTGGCGCGCGAATTTTAATTTGCAAGTGCCTCCATGTATGTGTGTGAGTATTTGCACCTATATACAGCTCTATGTGTGTGCTTGTGTGTGTGTGTGTGCGTGTGTGTGTGTGCGTATCTGTGAGTCAGCTATGAGAAAAGGGTCTCTTTTGATTGGAGGCTTATTGAAGGTGAATAGTCAGCAAACTGATTGCCATGTCGAATTAGTTTAATTGTTAATGCAAACGATACACTGCGCGAAAAAGAGACAGCGAGTGAGACAGGGGGAGAGAGAGAGGAGGAGAGAGTTTCGTAATGCGTTGCGTCTTTCTTCATTTACGAATTTCATGGATTTCCCTACAATAATTCCGCTTGAGAAACTCAAGTCTCGAGTGACTTTCACTGCCAACAGCGGACGCGGCAGCAGCTTAATTTATTTCGCCGCTGACCAAGCCAAAGCAAGCCAAACCGAACCGAACCAGCGACCAGCTAACCGACTGACTAACTAACACACAAAAGCCGAAAGAGCATATCGAAATTATATCATTCAAGTCTTGCGGCTGCAATTTGTTTCAGGCCTGCAATATAATTCTCAACTGGGTTTAGCTTCTGAAAGGCCACATACCATATTTGTCAGCTCTAGCTCCGTTAGTTGTCGAGTTTTTGTTTCACATAATACCCTATAATTATTCATTGATAATTTATAGGTTACATAGCCAAGAGCGAGGTTGAGGCTTGGTATTTTCATTAGAGTTGCGAAGTTGTGTGCTGCTGACAGATTCAAAAATACAGGGTATCTTTGGTGCAAGCCATTTTTTTTACAACTAATTACAGAAAGTTGAATTATCATTCGAAATGTTAACAATAATTGCTGATGCGTAAAGTTTTTAAACAAATTACATTTACAGACGTTAAAAATTGTAATAAGAAAACAAAATATCAACCAAAACTTTTCTTCACATTCCTTTTTTTTAATATTTTATTAATATATTTTTAGTGGCTATATAAATTAAAGATTCAAAGCAAAGATTTTCCAATATACATCCTTCAGTTATCGGGAGTATAACAAGAACTTCTAAGGAAAATATTTGCCAAGGTATATTATATATTTACAGGTAGTTTAATATCTTTAAAGCGCATATATAAATTAAAGTTACTTTTAGTAGGAACAGAAGTAAAGATTTTTCAATATGAATATATACAAATTGACCTATCAGGAGTATCGAGAGACCTTCAGATATTCTAAAGGGTATCTGCAGCTCGGAAATTGAAGTGAAAAATCAAAATTTAGCCAAATGAAGATAGCTGTCACTTGAGGCGTAGCTGCTTGGCCCTCAGTTCCGTTAAAAATAAATAATTCCCAACAGTTTACAGTTCGTGGAAATGGCCAAAACGTGCCTAACCGTAGGAATATAGTTGATCCTATATGTAACATATATATAACATATAATCACAAAGCGAGCGAGTACTTATAGAACGCTGAGGTAAACCCCAAAACTTGCAGCTTAAAATCAAGAAAGTATGATATTGGAGACTAGCAAATACCCTGCACCTACTTCAACCTAAAGCTGAAGCAGCTCGAGCTACCTGCTCAAGGGTTGGCAAAGATTTAGACTAGAGCTTTATATTCTTTATGAGAAGCTACATTGCCAATTTGGTAACTCTCTTAAAGCCTAATTTCGATATCGATTTTCATTGATTTCTTGGCAACGGCGCAAGTAATCTCTGGATTGAAACAAGCTCGTGTTCCGCGGGCACTGGGAGGATTTGGCAACAGCAATAAAATTATAGATACTTGATTTGTATATACTATTCGAGAATCTACACAAGTCTCTATTTTCAGAAAAGGTTCAAAATTATTTAAAAACATTTTAGCATTTTTAAAAAATATTTCAAAATGCTTTACAAATAGTTTGCAAAGTTTTTAATAATATTTTAAAATGATTTAAAAATATTTTCAGTAGTATTTTAAAATACTTCTAAAAAAATTTTAAAACTGTTTTAAAAAAATTTTAAAATTTTTGTTGTGTACTTTTAAAATTACTTTGAGATTTTAACTTTATATATTTACTTAGCTCCTTCGTGACTTGAGATCACATATTTAAACAAAACTTGGGCATAATTCAGGGAATTTTTCAAAAGCGACTCGCTTTGGAAAATTGACTTAAAATGTAGTTATAAATTGTAGGGTATGTGGCGCGTGGTTACCTTTGATTGAACCGCTTGAATTGTTTTGTCCCGCCGGCGATTGGACGTTGCTTTGACCGAGGTTGTTGGCGTGTGCTTCCAGTTTCGAAGTGACGCTGCTCCACATGTCAAACATACGTTGCGTATACATAATTAAAAAACGTCTGAGCGCCTGCCACCAAAACTCTGTTTATTGTTTATTGTTTAATGTTGATTGTTTGTTGTTGTTTTGTTGCTTGTCGTCGAATGTTATTTAAATGCAGCACGAGCAACACGCACACACACGCCCAACTACTGCATAGCCAGTTGTGTGTGCGTGTGTGTGTGTGTGTGTGTGTGTATTTGTATCTGTGTGCGTGTATTAGCTGAATACACTTTTTGCAGCAATTTTTTTTTTAGAATTTTGTTAGTTTGGTTTTGTTGTAAAGTAAACGCTTTTGTTTGTTGTTTGTTTGTGGCTGAGCGGGGCGCATACAATTTTTATTGAATTTCTTTTCTTGTTGTTTTTTATTGCACTTTAAGAATTTTTTAATATTTTTAAGTTTTTGTTTTATATGTGAAATTACTAATATCACAGTGGGGGGGGGCAGGGGGCGTGTTTTATTTAGCGCTGCTTTTGCTCTGCTGTTTGCCAATCTTTAAAGTTTATATATATATATATATGTGTGTATATGTATATATCTATTAGCTATATATGTGTGTATATATATATATATATTGGTTTGTGTGTATATATAATGTTCTAACGTTGTCTTCAGGCCTGTAGGTACTATAACTTGTGTGTTGAAATCTGATTAATGCTTAAGATCAGCTGCTGCTGCTTTTTGTTTTTTAATAATTGTTATTATTATTATTATTATTTTGTTGTATGCTATTTAACTATTTAATAAGACACTTGTTCGCGTATATTTTAGATAGAAATTGTTTGGTTTTTATTTTATTTTTAAACTTTAAGCTTTAAAGCAATTTTGTTTGTTGAATAAGTTTTTTTTTTTGTTTTTGGGCGCTTTTTTAGCCCTTTTGCAGCACATGCAAATTTTGGTGGCTGTGCAATTTTAAGCTTTTGTTGTTGTTGTTGCTGCCTTTTGAAGTTTTCGGCTGTTGTTGTTGTTGTTGTTGTTGTTGATTTTTAAGCACTTTCACTGCGACTTTGTTGTTGTTGTTGCTGCTGCTGCTGCGTTTGCTGTGATTTTTATGATGTTGTTTGCTGCTGTTGTTGTTGCTGTTGTTGTTGTTGTTGCTTTTGCTGCTGCTGCTGCTGTTGTTGTTATGCTCATTGTTTTGTCGATTTCTCTGTTTTGTTTGATTCCAAATCAAAATTTCCAAAAATACGAAAATTTCACGACAATTAATTCCGGAAGACATTTAGGCGCATTCTTCAAAACAGCATTTCAAATGAATTTCGTTTATTTCGACTATTATTTATATTTATATATATATATATATATATATATATATTTCTTAATTATATATGGTTTTTCCTCTTTTGTTGTTTATTTAAACACTTTGATGTATAAAATGGTTTGGCCCGTTATATAAATGCTTTTGCTGCGCGTTGTTAGCCATGGCCAATGCATGGCATTCAGCATATTGTTAATTTAGTGGGCGTGGCAAGTTGCCTGCGAATATTTGATATTTTTTCAAAAAATTAATATATGAAACTCAGGAGCACACTTGCGGCCTGTGCGTGTGTGCGTATGTGTGTGTGTGTGCGCGAATGATTTTACCAATAATTGAATTTGCCTTTAAACATCAAACAAGCGACACAGGACATGAAAACTGGGCCGCAACTCCGCTGCCCAAAAAAAAAAAAAAAAAAATACAAAAAAAAAAACAACAACTCCAACGAGGCAAATGCATGAGAATGTAACATGAACATGAAAAATCGATATAGAAATGAGATTTAAGGGTGCCAGACAGCTCGAACAGTAGGGGGTGTGGGGGTGTAGGGGTAGGGGGAACGCCGACTAGTCATAATATAGCTGCGCTGTGGGTGGGGTCTAACTGGGCGGGGGTGGCAACTCTGTCAGACAGGCGCGCCGCCGCCTGCAGAAACGAACATGAAATGCAGTTTACGAAGCGACAGCAACAACAGCGACGCATAAATCACACAACGAAAGCTCTGCACGTGTGTGCGTGAGAGAGAGAGAGAGAACGAGTGGGAGCGCAAGCCATGTGCGTGTGTGTGTGTGCGCGCTTGTAAACACTGAAAAAAGTTCTATGACCCAAAGCTTGCCGGCAAAACGAGCAAACGCAAATGAATATAAAACACATTTTTACTTTTTTTTTTATTTTATTTTAGTGAGGGTGAGCTGCCTAGTTGGGCGGGGTGTAGTCGGGGGTTAGAGCCCTGTGGGGTTAGTTAATAGGAACTTCAAATGCGGAAGCCCAGGCAGAGGCAAGCGAAACGCACACATGCAAATACGTCACCAGTAAAATCGTTGTTGTTGTTGTTGTTGTTTTAGTTGTTGCCGCCGTCACCAAAGCGACAACAACAGAAATTGTGCCAGCAGCGACAACAACAACTGTAACTAAAGCAGCGCCAGCAGTTTTTTTTTTTACCATTTACTATTGTTGTAATGGAGAAATTTACATATAGAAGCGTAGCGAGCAGAACGCCAGCGTCGCAGTGGGCAGCGCTGAGCGCAGCGGCGCAGCGTCAAATAAACTGAAAAGAAAATGAAAATGAATAGCAACAACAACAACAACAATGGGGCATCTGAGGAAGAAGCAGCAGCAGCAGCAGAAGCAGAGCAAAGGCATGAAATTCAAAAATTCTCTCACAACGAGCGCACACGAACACAGCGACAACGAACTTACTAACGGTACTAAGCCGGTCAAGCCCGAAAAAGGGAGGCAGCAACAACAACAGCAACAAGAACAACAACAGCAACAACAACAGCAACAAGAACGACAACAACAGCAAAGGCTGACGACAAAGTTACATGCTGACTGCCAGCGTCGCTGCTAGCGTCGCTGCCCCGCTGTCGCAGTACGTTGACGCCGAAAAAGACCAATGACCTATGCTAGAGCTCTGCACACACACACACACACACACACACACACACACACACACATACAGAAGCACACAGAGACTCAGGCATAGGCGCTGTCGCTGTCGCTGCTAGGCTTTTATTTTATACACTTTTTTTGTACCCCCCTTTTAGCTTGGGTCTGGGGTGGCTCTGGCACACTTATAGACGACACATAGAGTGTGTGCTTAGCAATGTTGTTCTACTAACGGTAATGCAAACAGTTGGCGCTGGGCAAAAGGTAGCGTCTGTGCGAGTGAGTGAAACAGAGAGACAGAGAGAGAGAGAGAGAGAGATAGAGAGAGAGGGAGTGAGAGAGGGGGCATGATAGTGGGCGTAGGCAACGACGTAGACTGAGAGACAGCTCTGCTTTAGGTGCTCTGAACTCAACTGAACTGAACTGAACTGAACTGAAGCTAGCGACCAACTGGGTGACTTACTGTGCAGTTGAGTTACTGTAACTGTTTACTGCCGCTGCCGCTGCGGCTGACTCTGTCTACTGACAGTTTTCTTGGCTTTTGCCTGGCTAAGAAACTGTCTGCTATTATAAATAGAAGCCCAAAAACAACAGCTACAACAACTACAACAACAATAACTGATAATCATAACTGGGCACAATGGGCAACAATTTGCATTGTTTTTTTTTCGTCTGTTTTTTTTCTGTGCAGGGTTGCGGGGCTGGTTGGGGTGGGGGCTGGGGTTGAAAACAAAACAATGTGGCTACATTATGAAAGATTATTACTGTGAACTTTTAACTGTCAGTTGGGGCTGATGATGAAGGCGGCAACAGCAGCAGCAGAAGAAGAAGAAGCAGACAAAGATTTGCAAACAGTTGTGTGTAAGCTTGACAACCCTACAAAACTCACCTAACTCGAAAAGTTTAACAATAATCTAGCAATATTTAAAGAAAGTTGAAGTTTTTTTATGTCATATGATTTTTGTCGATCTCAGGATGAACTCGTTCCTGAAGCATCGGAAATAATGGGCTTACATTATTTTTATTTTTTTTTTCTGAAAAGGTGTAAACCTCTTAAGATCGTGCCTGTTTTTAAAAAGTGTAAAATTCGTTTACAAAACTTGATTCTTGCAAATTTCTTAACTACAAACAATCTTTAAAAGAGGAAAAAGTTAAGTTTAGAATTTAAACTGAGTAGCTAATGGTTTTTGAGTACATCGAGATTTCAAATCCCATTGGCATCGACCTCTAAAAGTCTTTAAATTTAACTTTTTCACAATTTATTTTGTTTAGTATGTGAAAATCTTTCATTCGAAAATGCGATCTTTTCGCAGAAGCGTTCTAATTTGCGAGCGATAACTGTATTAAATTTTTCAACTTTCTAACACTGCATAACAGTGGGAAAAACTTGCTGTTACAGCAACGGGCTTCAATCTTTACGGAGCAATTAAAAGATACGGGCCTATGAGTATTATTATTTGAATACAAGAATGTCAAAAAAATAAGAAGCACGAGAACTGCTTGAACCCTGAGAAAACCTGCATAGTAACAAAAAGACGGCTCCGAGCGAAATGTTGATCTATGGCTTATTAATTATTTATTATATTATATTTATTATTGAAATGAAGATTTATTGTATACAAATTGATTTCTGCTTCTCAAGCCAGCCCACTGTACGAGAATATTGTAGCGAAAGTTTTCTACTAGGTTTTCTCTGAAATGGGGAATACGTTAGGAAGAGATTAGAATGAGGTAGTTCCAATCCTTAATCCGCAAAAACATAATAGAAAAAGTATTCTACTGTTTGCTTTCGGATATAGAGAAAACGAATACGAAGGGGAGAGATTAAAACGAGGTAGGTTCAATACCTGATCCCCATGAATCGAATAGCAGAATTTTTCTACTGTATTCTTTCCAATCTTTAATCCCCAATAATAAAAATAGCAAAAGTTTTTTGCTGTATTTTGTTGGATATAGCCTATGTAAAGCACAATGTAAACGATAATACATAGTATACATATAACAAATATGTAACAAAGGACTCTATTTGATAATATTGGTAAAACCAAAAAGGTTTTGAATTTTAAATATGAAGTAAAGAGAGTCAAAATAAAAAATAAATTAGGTGTTTCCAGATATGTTAGTAGACATGTTGTTGAAGAAGGCCAACTATTAGGAAAAGTTTAATAGTTTATACCTAAAATCATGCTAAGAAATACTACAGTGAACACTCGCAAATAAAATCCCTTCATATTTGGCTATTATTCCAGATTACAAATGTTTGCAATTGCCTGGAAATGCTATTTTTCTTTTAGAAATAAACAATTTTTAAATATTGATATGATATTGATTTCTAAAGAAATTCTCGAAATATGCATTTTCAAAAATAACACTTTTATATCGGATGTGAATGAATGAATGTGAAATGAATGAATGGGAATGGTTAACTCAGATTCTAGTTTCCGGAAAATTCAAGAGTCCAATGAAAACTATCGCCTTAAAGGACAAATTCAATTCGTTGCAAAAATCCTGCCAATAAGTCTCTTATAAATCGACAACTCTCTTAGAAAATCGTCGATATTTTTTTATAGATACAAATGTTGTAAAACTCGAGTAATAAAAAAATATATTAAATAATAAGGCATTTGTTTAAAACAGCTTTTAAGTTGTTCGTAATCCATAGAGATTTTTCTGCGCAAATAATATCCAATAAATTATCCAATTTGTGTGGTGGATTTCACATATTAATTTTATAATCCAATAAATATGTCTTTTTTCAGAAATGATCCTTTATGGCTTTATGCACACGCACACACGCACAGGCGCGCACACGCACAGGCGCGCACACGCACACACACACGCACAGCAATTTATTGCATTACACAATCTATATTTTTGGAGGGTGTGTGTGTGAGTGTGTGGGTGTGTGCAGAAGTGTAGAGGGGTTTGCATTCTCAGCTGCTGCTCCAAAAGTTGTATTTTTTTTTCTGTTTTTTTTTTTTTTGGAGTCTGTACCAATAAATTACGTCACTTGCACTTCCGTTTTTGTTGTTGTTGTAGTTGTTGTTGTTGTTGTTGTCGCATCACGAGACGGCGCAACGACGTTGCAGTAGCGATTGCAGTTGCATTTGTTGCAGTTAGGCACGATTTGGAATTTGAATGCACTTTTTAGATATTTCTACTGCCGCTTCTTGTATATATATATATATATATACAATATATATATTTTTGTTGACTTTTCTTTTTGTTTTGGCTGCAGCTGAAACCGAACCGAACAACTTCACCGATGCCAGCAACAAATTAGCCAGGCATGTTGCAATATTTGAATTTGTTGCTGCCGCTGTGGCTGTGGCTGTTGCATTTGTAATTTTCTATTGCTGCACACGCACCGCACACACAAATCGAGAGACGAACGCACTGGCGGCACACATACACGACGCACACGCACGCACGCACGCACACAGGAGAGCGAGAGACGCGCGTAATAGTTGAAAAGACACACACACACGCACACATACACGAAGAAAATCATATACAATAAGTATAAACAACAACAACAAATAATTAATAATAAAGATACAACGCGCAACGCATCGTAACCGCCGCCGCGATACGCTCAATACGAAGTGTAGCTGAAGACTGCCTCAAAATGTTATCGAGTTCGTTGTCCAAGTGGCGCGCCGCATTGCGGCCTCAGAGTGTGGCAGCAACTCACACAACACACACACACACATACACTCGCATAGTAAAGAGAGAGCGCACGCCAAAGAGCGCGGTAGCCACGTTGCGCTCAGCAACGTCCCCACCGGCCGCACTCCAATCCAGAAACAACAGCCAAAGCACTGTTGATGACGACGGCGACGCCGGCAGCGCTGCTTGCTGAGTGGGTATATGTGTCTCTGTGCCGATGACTTCTTCAATTTTTTTCAGCATTACGCTTTGTGCCGTTCATTCGCTATGGCAACCGCTCCACTGGCGCTTTTCTATGTGCATGCCTACGCGCGTGTGTGTGTGTGTGTGTGTGGGTTGGTGGGGGGAGAGCGTGTGCGTGTAAGAGTGAGCAGCGCGCGCTTTTTACTAATCAGCTGTTGACGTCGCTCTTACATAAAGAGCGTCATTTCAAAGAGAGGGTCGACAGTAAGTGAGAGACCGCGCGCATCAAAGCTTTGCTGCAGGCGGAAAAAGCTGTGTGCCATATTACTATTACAGCATTTGTTGTTTTCATGGCGTTCCTTTTTTTTTTATTTTGTAGCCTTTGTTTTTGTTGCCGATTTTCGTCCATTTCCTTTTTGTGCTGCGCTTCTCTCTGGCACTGCGACTGCCACTGCTACGGCTACTGTCATTTCCATTTGAAATTCCCAATTAGCAGGTCAATTGCTTTTTAGGCCAAACTGTGTGCATTGCAGTCGACTTGTTTCCCTCTCCCTCTCACCCTCTATCCCACTGCCTCTGTCTCTGTCTGTCTGGACTAGTCTGCCTGGCTGCGTGCTTTGTCCATTTCTTCCTGCCGCTGCCGCTCATCCTGTGTGTGCGGCATTTAATTACACTTTTAGCTGACTTTCCTCAACGACTCACTTATGCATGAAAATTGTTTCTAATGGCTCTGCAAATTGCGCATAAATGCATTTTTTATAATGCCACACACACACACACACCTATACATATGCGTGTGTATGCGTGTGTCTTCACTTAAAACATATGCCAGCCCTCTTCACATAAACTATTTCTCCGGCTTAGATGTCTTTTGTGCCAATTTGTGGCTTAGTCATGAATTATGCTTATTGTCATTAAGTTAGCTCAAGGCATATTTAGGAAAATGCTTTTCATGTGAATTTTAAAAGAATATCAGTTTTGTTTTGGGCTTAGAATTGAGTATGTTTTAAAAAGAACAAATATAACAATTCATTTTGAAATATCTCCTGGGCTTTTCATTGATATAAGAAAAGTATGAATACTTTTTTAATTGTTTTGTTTTTATTATTATTAATTTTTTTTTTAATTATTTTTATTTAAATTATTATTATTACTTAAATTATTTTTATTATTTTAATTATTTTTATTATTGTTATTATTATTAATGTTATTCTTCTTATTATTATTCTTTATATATTTTTTTTTATTAGGGCTATGATAGGGACAGACAGAGTCTGGGATTAGATAGTTGAAGAATTCTTCCAAAAGAACTCTAGATTTTTATTTGAAAAACAAGAAAGTTAGGTTAAGAATTTGGAATTTAGTTATTTATTAGTAGCACCAAGAAACCTTGACCTAAATATAGACAGAACCTGATGATCGCCCATTTCTCCAACATTGTAAGACAAACTTAATTGCTAGAAAGCGCATTTCTAGACCCTGCTAGGTCTATCACGAGTAAGGCATTACATATGAAGCACATTTGTATTTATAGCCCAGGATCCTCCTCTCAAAAACCCGGTTTTAAAATATCTGCCATAAGCATACGTAATTTAAATACACAAAACCCAATCAATAACATTTTCAATGCCTTTGCTTTGAACATTTTTGAAGATTTCACTTAACTAACTTTGGTTAATATGTAATATTTAAAAATAAAATGCATTTCTTAAACTCTTGAAAGCCTCGACAAAATGAAGAAAAAAAGTCCCCTAAAAATCGTAAAAAGTAAATTTAAAAAAAAACTGCCAAGGTAAACCAGGGTCAAAGTTCAGCAAACAGAGCCACAGCCAAAAAAAATGCTAATAAAAACTATATATAATATTGAAATTTGTTTCAGGAGACGACACATGCAAAAATCGCACACAATTTCAAATTAAGTCAACCTAAGTATTGAAAACATAAATTAATAAAAATCAAAAAAAAAAAATCAATGATGTTGCAAGCGACTTTCGGTTTGCCAAATTCGAAACGCAGCAAAGCAACAACAATTTCGTAGCTCAAAGTTAATAAATTAATATTTTTTGTGGCTAATTTATGTCTTGTTATTGTTGTAATGCATACAATTAACTCTGCCGCAACTCACTCACGCACACAGATACAGATACAAATGTATCTGTAGCTGTTAAGTATCTGCGTGTGTTATGGGACAGCATAAAACTTTGCATAAACGAAACAAGTAGATGAAACAAAAAAAATAAAACTCCATATTGCGAAATGGCCAACAACGATTGGCAAAAAAAAAAATTATATTGGGTGAAAAAAAACAAAACTTGGATATGATAATGAAACGGCTGCGCTCGATTGGAAAGAAACCTCATGCGGCGCTGGCTAATGGACGGGTACGAGTTACAGGGCCCTTGTGGGGACGAGGGGCGAGAGGGCGGGCGGGGTCCGACAGATTCATGCATGAAATGCAAACGTTGTCTGGCTGAAATTATAATGAACCCATAGCCAAATCATATAGGTAATTCCAATATCAGCAACAATGGGGGACATCTATGCGATCATGCGATAGATGCCCACATATATCTCTACACATATCTATATATATACATATACATATATATATATATATACATATTCGCAAAAGTGATAGTGCGTTCGCCTGAACCTCTCGTAACTCGTCATCCGCATCTCAACTTGGGTTTTGTCTTGTGTAATGCGCTCGCTTCTTCTTCTTCTATTTTTATGGCCAACTTCAGGGTCGCATCTTGTAGATACAAACAAATGTTTAGCCAGTTTAGCTACTAAGTTAGTTAGTTAGTGAAAACATTTAATGAATTCATTTGGCTGTTATTGTGATTTCCTTGCCAAATTAAAGACGCTTAGTAATGCGTCTGATGAGCTACATTTCGCAGCCAAATAAAATATATACAAAATTATTCCAGTCTGTCGTTTTTTATGCTTCACAAATGAGTTTTTATCTTGCAGTTCATAGCTGATGCAAAACTCAGTTACTTTTATGCTAATTTTTGTTACAGAATTTTTCCATTTAAAACAAATCATGTTAAGGCAAATCTGCTTAGCAGTGGGGTGCTCTGTTATTTGATTAAGATACTGTTAAGTTTCCTTGCAGCTGTCTGTTAATTAACAGCTCTAGTTTCTATGTTGTTTATTTTCAGATACTAAATTTAACTAAAGGATAAACAAAAATGGTTCATTTTTTTATGAATAACATAAACACAAATATATTTGGTTTAGAACATATAACTCCTAAACCTAAGACGGTAAAAGAAATGTCCAAAAATTTTCAAAGAGTGTGATATGAAAGCTAAGTTTTCGCAGAATCTTAACCAGGCAAGTAATGAAAAATTGAAAGACAAATAGATGTTGGAAGATTTAGAAGATATATAGAAGATATTCGTTTTGGTTATTTTCTTGTAATTAAATAACGAATTGTTAATATGCTGATAATCATAATATGCTTTATAGTTATAAACTATCTAGCTAACTATTTTAAATATGACTTCTATGGCCTTCGGCCAAAAAAGTCCACACACGAGCTTGGGACTCTAAGACAGATTCGATATATTTTTAACATATTTCACCAATTATCAATTTCATAGAAACATAGTTATATGATATAGTATCGCCATATAACATAATGTGCTTATATTTGCAGCTTTATTAAACTAGTTCTATAGCATATTTTGTTGCTTAAATCATTCGTTAAAAAAGTTGTTCGGACAAGAATTTTATTTTTCTATTCCCATACATAATAAAAACCGTAATAAAGATATTCTATAGGTATAGAAGATTAAGGTCGTGGCTTTACCATTAAGAATGGTTGAAATTTAGTTATTATAAGCCCTTAAGATGGTCTAAGAGATATTGGTGATAAGTTGATGATTAGTTTTGCTGATTAAGTTCCCCATTTTTGTATGAGGCAGTTCTTCATCAATTCGAGCTAAGCTCCGCTAGACTCGTTATCGATCGCTCAATCAACGATTAACGATCAACGATCAGCGCTTTAAATGCAGCTCATCAATTATCGAATGACATAACTGACCAGTTCAAGGGCTAATGAGCCGCAAATATCAACAAAAGCCAGACACGGACAAATGTAGATCAATTTTGGCTCGTTCTTAAAGAATGAAACCCCCTTTTTTGCTGGTTGCAAAGTCTCGTGCCACGCCCATGCGCCTGAGGCAGCGACTGCGACTCATTTGTAGCCCAGCAGAAACTGACAACTGCGAACGCCTCATGCGGCCAAATCAATTTCAAGCTTGGCTAAAAGCATTAACATGTAACTGTTACTGAGACTAATCTACATTTGTTTTAATTTAGAACCATTTAATGTCTTGTTTCTATGTTGTTTCTTTTCAGATACTAAATTTAGCTAAAACCAACAGCAACAGCAGCTTGCAAAGGTCAAAGCCTTCTCTCATGGAATTTAATCAGTCTCTTTATTAATTTAAAGCTTAAAATTCAAATGTAAGTACCAAAACTTTTATTATATTATAATTTAAGTAATGACAATTTTGAACTCTTATTATACGGTATTATATGGACTCTGCGGAGTTCATTAACAGTTTTTATTTATTTAAACAAACTACTTTAACAAAATTCGGTATATTTTTAAAGGATAAACAAAAATGGGTCATTTTTGTAAGAATAATATAAAACTAAATATATTTTGCTTAGAACATATAACTCCTGAACCTAAGACGGCAAAAGAAATGTACAAGAATTTTCAAAAAGTGGGATATGAAAGGCAAAACGATGTTGGAAGATATAGAAGATATATGTTTTGGTTATTTTCTTGTAATTAAATAACGAATTGTTAATATGCTGATAATCATAATATGCTTTATAGTTACAAACTATCCAGCTAACTATTTAAATATGACTTCTATGGCCTTCGGCCAAAAAAGTCCACACACGAGCTTGGGACTCTAATCCGGATTCTATATAGTACCGTACAAAAAAGATATTCTATACACAGATTAAAGTCGCGGCTTTACCGTTTAGAATGGTACAAATTTAGTTAATATAAACCCTTAAGATGATCTAAGAAAGGTTGATGATAAGTTGATGATTAGTTTTGCTGATTAAGTTCCCCATTTTTGTATGAGGCAGTTCTTCATCTATTCGAGCTAAGCTCCGTTAGACTCGTTATCGATCGCTCGATCAACGATTAACGATTAACGATCAGCGCTTTAAATGCAGCTCATCAATCATTGAATGACATAACTGACCAGTTCAAGGGCTTATGAGCCGCAAATATCAACAAAAGCCAGACACGGACAGCTATTTAGGCAAATGTAGATCAATCTTGGCTCGTTCTTAAAGAATGAAATCCCCTTTTTTGTTGGTTGCAAAGTCTCGTGCCACGCCCATGCGCCTGAGGCAGCGACTGCGAATCATTTGTAGACCATCAGAAACTGACAACTGCGAACGCCTCAAGCGGCCAAATCAATTTCAAGCTCGGCCAAAAGCATTATAAAGATACAGTCGGGTTTACAGCACAGACTGGGCAGCCCTGTACCACCCCCCCCCTCCCCGCGCAACCCCCGCACCCCCTCGATGACGCCCCTGGCCAGCTCATTAAGATTGTGAGGAATTGCGAGCTGCCGTTGCGCACAGTTCTATTGTAATCGAGCGAATGTGTGTGTGTGTGTGTGAGAGTAAGTGTGTGTGTGTGTGTGTATGCTTAGACTTCATTCAGCTAACTGTATAGTTTGTAGCTGCGGCTTTTACCGCTAAGGTTCGTGGTACGGTAAAAACTATGAGCCAAGAATGTTTACTGTGTGCATGTGTGTGTGTGTGTACGTGTGTGTGTGTGTGTGTGTGTGTGTGTGAAGCGAAGCGGGCGATGAACAAGTGCTTAGAACTGTGACTCGACAGCCAAAGCAAAGAGTGTGCGAGCGAGAAAGCAAGATACACAGAGAGAGCGATAGAGTGAGACGGGGAAGGGGGAAGGGGGGGCCTGTGTGGCTCATTTGTGCCGCAAGTGAGTCAAAGAGCCGTAAAGCGAATGTGTCGAAGCAGCAAGAATCGCACAAACTAACAGAACCTAATGATAAAGAACACCAACCCGCAGCACTAGCAAGCCCCCCCCTTCCCCCCCCCCCTACCACAAGGTAGCGAGCAACTTTGCGGCTTATTTAGTATGTCAAAACATGTTTTTTTTATTCTATTTGTTTGTCTGTTTTTTTTTTTTCTTTTTTTTTACTGCTGCAACCAACGTCGTCTATGGAAAGTGGGACACAGCCGCAGTCGAGCTGCGGCTCGGTGGCTGCCACAAGAGGTGAATAGCCAATAAATCGACGCTTGTAAATTGAAATTCTTTAGCATGGGGTGTGTGCAACAACAACAACAACAACAACAGCAACACACGCACATACACCTGTTACTACTGTTGCTGTTGTTGTTGTTGTTGTTGCTGCTGCTGCCAGAAGGCATCAATGTGGACGCTGTGTCAGCCTGTTAATTGTGGTCCGAGCCTGGCTGCTTGCGCAATGCCATCATTTGCATGCCCCCAGATGCCAGTCTCCCACTCGCAAGTACAGTAGACACTCATTACAAGTTGCAAGTGGGTGTCAATGAAAACCTTAAAGCCAACTCATCTTTTAACCAAGCTGTAGTTGAGAGGAAACTACGATAATACATTTATTTCTAGGGAATACCCCTTATTTTATATTATTCAGATGCAGATGGTGTCATTTAACACTTTAAAGCTAAAGCATATTAAGAAAAAATTAAATATCTATATTTTTCCCTGAGGAATACCCCTCACTTTAAACATAAAGCTGTTCAATTGAGTTGTAGCACATTGAAAGAAAAAAAATTGTAATATATATAGGGAATACCTCAAAGTTTTTATTAATTTGATGCAGTTGGTGTCAATTAAAACTCGTAAAATAGAGCGAATGCTTTTAATAGCATATAGAGAAGTAATACAAACATATATATTTCCATATAATAGGGTATATGTAATAAGTAAGGGTATATATAATACATTAGGTCTGAAATACGTTCTTACTTTAATGCTCTTCTCAACGTATTATAAACGTTAAAACTCTATGTAAATAAGTTTCCTAATAACATTTCATAGCAAAACTTGCTGCAAGTACACAAAACGTTTGCGAAAGTCAATCAAAGAGGAATCGCAAAAAACGACGTTCAATGAGCATCTGTGCGCAAATTGATATGCAATAGTTATTGATTTGTAGGCAAGATAAAGAAGGTACTTATATATATAAAGAGATATATTGAATGTGCTACCTTCTTAATCAACCAGTCAACGGCTAAACTCTTAACTGGTTTCGGTCTCCCTAAAGCAACACAAAGTGAATGAATTATGTTCCATATGCAATAATTAGCAATATATAAATTAAATTAAAAAAAACCTTCTCAATAAATCTTGAAGGGAGCCTCTTGTACCCACTTTGTGACTTTCAAAGAACTCAACTTTATATATATCTCAAACAGATGTGACACATTTTAAGGAAGATCTGTGGTAGTCGTAGTTTTGTCTAGAAAGAACCCGCAACATTTCCCATAATTCATAATATTGTTTCCCATTGCATCCAAAATCTTACATTTTGTGAGAAAACCTTTTTAGTGAACAGTTCGACTTAACTAAATTTTAATTTGAGTAAACAAGATTTGCCACTCAAAATCATTTTTCCCTATTATCGATTATCGATAATCTTTATCTTTGATCGATAATCTTTATCGTTTTTCGATCAGCGATTGTTTAAGCAGTTGCTCACATTAAAATAATTTTTGATGCGCACATAAAATGCATACAAGAATTATTATGGTTCATCCCAAGCTGATTTCACAGTACTTATGAATATTTACACTGACCTGTCATAGCTCCATTGCTGCTGCTGTCTCTGTCTCTGTCTCTGTCTCTCTCCCTGTCCCTGTCGCGCGTTGCTGTTGCCGCGACCGCAGCCGCAGCAGTTGTGGTTGCTGTTGTTGCTGCCGATGTTGCTGCTGTTGCTGCTGTGGTTGCTGCTGCTGCTGTTGTTGCTGTTGCTGTGGCTGTGGCTGGCTTCTGTGTGGGCAGCAGCGGTGGTGGCGTTCGTTCTCTATGCCGCAGTCGCTCAGTGGGCGTGGCTGGCTTGCGATGGCTGCTGAGGCTGCTGAAGCTGCCGGCACGGGCCAGCGCCGGTGGCTCCGACATGAATTTCGCTTGCATTTGCTGTGGTGCAGCCAGCGCCAAGCGCTTGGGCGCCGGCTCCGACAGCTGCGCCTCCTCCAGCTGCTGCTGCTGCTGCTGTAGGTGCTGCTGCTGTGGCGTCTCTGGCGAGGCGCTGGCTATGATTGTGGCCTCCTCCTCGCCCGTCGTTGTCGTCTCAAAGCACACGTCCAGCAAGGTGGCGCCGCCGCTCGTCTGCAGGCCAGCTATATCCTTGAGATCTATCCAGCTGGCGCCCAGCTTGTCGGCATCGGTCAGCGGCAGGCTGAGCACACGCGTGTCGCCCTCGTCGACAATGTGAAAGGCCTGCGTCGGCTCAATCTTCACGATGATGGGCTGGCTGGCCAGTATCTGTGCGGGCGGCAGATTGCATCTGTTGCTGTTGTTGTTGCTGTTATTGTTGTTGTTGTGTGTGTTGCTGTTGCTGCTGCTGCTGCTGCGGCTGCTGCTGCCCAGCAGGCTGGCCATGTGCTCATCATCGTCGTCCTCCTCAATGGCATCCAGCTTGCCGAGCTGCTGTTCGATCTGCAGGTACGTCGTGGTTGTTGTTGTTGCTGCTGTTGCCGCTGCTGTTGCAATTGTTGCTACAGTGTTGCAGTTGCTGCTGCTGCTGCTGCTGGCCACATCGCAGCCGCCCGTGACGCTGGCCAGGCTGCGTATGGTCGTCACTGGCTCCCGCTCCCGCTCCCGAGCGCGCAGTACATCCAGCTTGAGCACCGTGCACTTGTCCGTCTGCTGGTACTGATGTTGCTGCTGCGGTCGCACGTAGCCAGTTGCTGTTGCTGCTGTTGTTGTTGCGGCTGCTGCATCCGTTAGAAAAGCCAGCGGTGGCGATGTGGCTTTATTCGAGGTGCTCACACAGCGCGTGGGCGTGCCAGTTGACCGAGCCACAATTGTGGTCGCCGCTGGCAGCGGTATTATCGATATCGAGGGCACTTTGCTGCGCAAACTTGCCACGGCTGCCGCTGTGGCAGCATCCGCATCTAGATAGCTGGCGCTTGCAGTTGCCGCAGTTGCTGCCGATGTTGCTGCTGTTGTGGCAACTGTTGCTGCAGTCGCTCGGTTGCTGCCAACGGGCGCTGCCTGCTGTATCAGCAGGAGATCTCTTGGCCTATCCGTTGTGAGGGCCGTTTCTTGGACAATTCGGTGTATGAAGCTAGCAACAATTGCTGCCAGTTGCTGTTGTATTTTAGAGATTGCAGCTGCTCTGCGTTTATTTGCGATTACTTTTGCTATGTTTAAATATATTTTTCAGCATTTTCCGACACATGTTTGGTGTAAA